AAGCTTTGGTGGGTAAAACCCACTTTGCCGGGGGCCCTTTTCAAAGAGTGTTCTCCAGCCCCTCCCTTGGCCCTCTTTTCTCAAGACTAAACAGGGCCCCGTTGGGTGTATTACCACCATTGTGCTCTGCGTTTTAATTTCATCCATCTCTACATCGCCCTGGAAAAGCATCACCAAGTCCTTTCCTCCCTGTCCTTTCCCCCCACTCCCCAAGAGTCCTCTAATTAAATCAGGAGAAAGTTAACTACAGCAGGATTTCCAAAAACACAGCATCTAACGACCAACTCCCCCTGCCTTTAACCAGATAATCTCAGTCTCCTTTTTGCACTGGCAAATCTTGCTCCCTCCCAGCTTCCCATCCGGCTCCCAAGGCCACAGTCTGAATTAGACAGGGAGTGAGGCACTTGCTAAAGGCAAACTGAAGCGCTAAGGCCAGACATGAAAAAACTCTGCCACCCCCACCCCCGCCACCCCATGTTGATCCCAGCCATGTTTCCGCCAAAGATTCTCAACTGTTTTCTTCCTGGTCAACAAAATTCTCCCCATTGGTCTGTGAATTTCAGGACAGCTGCTTAGTAATGCCAGGGGGTGAAAACGACGAGATTTTCCCTCCCCTTCTCCACCTCTTCCCTCAGTTCTCTGACGGTATTACAGGGTTTTATACGAAGCAATTGAAATCTGAAGGGCCATGAAGTGGCTTTTGTCTTTCACTGGTGCAAGGCAAAAATAGAATCAGACCTTCGTCTCTCTGTCTCCACCTAGCTGAATGGTTTGGGGTCTCAGTGGTTCAGGCCAGCCTTTTCTTTCGTTTCCCCCTCCATTTCCCGCCCCCAAGGCCTGAGTTTGGGGTTTCACCATCCCCCGCTCCCAAACGCCAAGCAAAACAGTTCCAAAGTGCCGAACGCCTCTCTGGTTTCACACCGAAACCGACAAGGTCCCGTCCAGCCTTCCCAGCTGAACCACAGATCTGCTCTGGGTTGTCTCAAAAGGTCTTGAGTCATGGTGGGAACCCAGCCTCTCCTGCACCCCAAGTTCAAAGTCTGTCAAATGTTTTGTCATGTGATGGCTTCCATCTCCTCCTCCCAGAGCTCCCCAGAATTCCTCACAAGCAGCAGCAAGGTACGAAACCGGATGGATCACACCTAATTCCAGGTTGCGGTGACCATGGCGCACGGCTCAGCGCCCTGTGACAGAGCTAATGCCAGGTACAGGAGGGAGCACTCCAGTCTTGGCTCTGATTAGGGGCTGCGGCAAATATGTAGCACAGAAGAAGAAAGAGGGATGGGGGAAAAACAGATGCTAGATGATTCCTTTCCCATCGGTAATGTTGATGTGGGGGGAGTCACATAATTCATCCCCCATCTCCCTCCGGCCCCCGTCACAGAAGTGGCACACAATCAGCAGGGAATAGAATAACGGAGTCCCCCAAATATGAATCTGGGCAGACTCTGCATCTCTATCAGTTCAGTCTCCAAACCCCTTTGATTTGATCTGTGCAACTTCACCCCTCCCCCTCCCCATTTGTAAAAATGGGGGTTAACATTCTTTGTCTTTCTTGGCTACTTAAATTGTAAGCTTTTTGGGGCAGGGACTCCCTCGTATGTATCGGCCCAGCGTCAAGAACGATGTGGCACCATTATTCTAGAGCTATGGTTCTTAACCAGGGGTATGTATTATACAGTCGCCTTCCAGAGGATGCATTAAGATATGTGCCTCTTGACAACAGGCTACATCAAAAGCACAAGCAAAGTCCATACAAACTAAAATTTCATACAATTCATGCTGTTCTAGAGACTATATACACTGATGAGTGGTAAGTACAATACTTATATTCTACTTGATTTTATTAGTAGTTTTACATGGAGTTGCTTGGGTTCTCAACTCTATTCTTTTTTTAAAGGAAAATGTACATGCTTTATTGAAATGATTGCATTTTTCAAAACTACGGTGTTATGTTTATGTAGTTAATCTTAGCAAAAGCAAAAGTTTACACACGAGCATTCCATGAAGTGTATTTTTTCTTCATTCCAATAAACTTTTATCATTTTCTATGTTTTAACAAAACGGCATAACATGATCTTCTAGTTTCCAACCTTTAAACATTGATTTAGCTTTGCCAAAACAAAGCACTATTCCCAGTGTTTGTTTTATCTCTTTTCTGAGAAGCAGTCCTATTCCAGGTTCATTTTATAGTTCTGACTCATCTTGGTTCAATCTCTTTCAACAGGTGCTCAGTGATGGAAGGGAGAGTGATAGCTCAGTAGTTTGAGCATTGGTCTGCTAAATAGCAAGGCTGTGAGTTTAATCCTTGAGGAAGCCATGGGGAAATCTGTCAGGGATGGTACATAGCTCTGCTGTGAGGGCAGGGGACTGGACTCAATGACCTCTTAAGGTCTCTCCCTGCTCTAGGAGATGGTCTATCTCCATACACTATGTTAACTTTGAGGTGTGCTTGATATGGTGATTGTCTTTTTTCTGTATAGTGTTCTGAGAACCAATCCCATTCCAGGCACATCCAGGCTCTGTGGCACAACCAAACCCTGGCCTGGCTTTAAGTTATGATAAGAGGAAGCTGCATACCAAATTTGGTGGTCCTAGCTCTTACCGGTTAGGAGGAGTTCTTGATCAAACTCACCAACAGACAAACTCTCTAACATTTATAGTAGAGGATATGATAAAATGGGAAAGGAAGCCATTTTTAAGTGAGGTAAAAGTTGGGGGGATGCTAGACAAGTCAGACGCCTGAAAGGGGTCAGGTACACTGGAAAGGTGGAGAGCTGCCATGCTAGGCAAATGAACACAATATGAACCCCCCTTTCAGCAAGTCTGGGGGAAGGCACTTCTCAAGCCATGCCCTGGTTCGTAATCCCGTCTTGGTTATTTGAACACGGCTAATCACCTCTCTTGCCACACAAAAGCAGCAGCCTGTCAAAAGCCTTCCACTTCAGCAGAGCCTGAGTCACTCTCTTGACAGTAGCATCAGGGACACGCCGTCCTAGCCCGTCCTGCTGATGTCCTTCCACACCCCCTCCCTAGGCCCACACATGCACACACACACACACACACACCACAAATCTGCTGGCATTTAAGTCTTGACCCTGCAAAGGATGGAGAACATTCCACTGCCCCTGAGGCGTGGTGGAAACGGACGGCGCATGGCCCCTTGCAGTAGCAAGTCCTTAGCAATCAGTTCCCTCCCCTACGTTCCTGCAGCTTGCTAGCTATTTCTTGACAGAACCCCGCCAGCCCAGCCTTGGCAACTAGACAGGCAGGAAATCATTTATCTGCATCATCCTCTTCAGGAGGCTCGGAGGCCTTTTCTGTGGAGGTTCACACACATCCAGCCTAATTGTTCATTAGTCATGCTCACCCATTATATAACAAATGAAAAATGCCTTGCCGAGTGTCAAGAGAAGCCCTGCCAGAAACCACAGCTAGGGAAGAGCAAACCTGCAGCTCTGGATTCTCCGCTTCCCACTCAGGGGGCAGCAACACCAGGAGGCAAAGTCGGGGAAGAGGATTATCACGTTAGCCAGTGTGTGGTCAAATCTTAGCGCGGAGAAGGCAGTTGTGATTTTAACACTTTAAAGGGTCGAGGTAAACACGAGGAACAAGTCTACACGAGGAAATTATTTTGAAATAATTCAATGTACAAGTCTACACGAGGAAATTATTTTGAAATAACTCAATGTGAAAGAATAACTCCCAAAACAACAAAATCAAATTAGAATAGTAATAGAGATGTAGCCGTGTTAGTCTGGTCTTGCTGAAACAAAAGACAAGGCTATGCAGCACTTTAAAGACGAACAAGACGGTTTATGAGGTGATGAGCTTTCGTGGGTCAGACGATCTGCGGAAGTGGGTCTGGCCCACGAAAGCTCGTCATCTTATGAACCATCTTGTTAGTCTTTAAAGTGCTGCATAGTCCTGTCTTTTGTTTCAAAATCAGACTAACGTGTCCCCGCTACAAAGGAGCCTCAAAATTACTCCAAGGCAGGCTCCGTTACCGTGGACACGCTACCTCGACTTAACGCCAGGAAGCACTGGGGAGTAATTACTTCTAATGACTCTGGAGGGTCGTTATTTCAAAATAGCAGCAGCGGAGCATCCACATGACCGTTGTTTCAAAATACCTATTTTGAAACAAGCGTTATCCCCCCCCGAGGAAAGCAGGAGAACAGATTTTGAAAAAAAACAGCCTATTTCAAAATAACGGGATTGGTCGTGTGGACGGTGCGCTTATTATTTCGAAATAAGGGGGGTTATTTTGAACAACTCCCTAGTGTAGACTTGGGCTAGGTTCCCTCAACCTGATAAAAGTGCCCTGTGCACATTAGGATGTTAACTAAAATGCAATAAAGCGACACCATTTTTTACTAGGGAAGGGTCTGAACGCCTGAAAATTTGTCCCACTCATCTGCAAAGGTCTGTGAGCACTCAGCTACAGCAGACTTTGCCACTTCAGCTTTGCCGCCACTAGCACAGATGCCTAGAGCCCTGCAAATCCGTGGATCTCCTCTTTATGCCCGCGGGTATCCATATTCGTGGATGTGAATGCAGTTATCCTCAGCTCATTCATACAGATACAGATTTTGTACCTAGACTACTGCAAGTTTGTGAATAGCTACCATGGCAGAGCTCTGGCCATATGCTCTGTGCTCCCGGGTGGCTTTTTAGTGTGCCTCAGAGGCTCGTGGTGACCCTTCCACTGCCTCTTGTTTCTCCCAGAAGCAAAGGTCCCCCGCTTAATGAGCCATTTTCACATAGGGCAGGCACCAGCTTGGGAGAGGAAAAAAAAAAAAAAAACACTCTTCCGTGGTCCTAGGCCCCCTTTTTTCCTCAGGGACCATCCACCAGGTGTGAGAAGGGTTTGGGGGAAACCGGCCCAACCCACTTACTCCAGGTTCCAGCCCAGGGCCCTAGGTAGCAGCCACTAGTGGGACTCCTGCCCTTGTCCCCACAGAATAGCCCCCCTCTCCCTGGGCTGCTCCCCACATTACCTCCTCCTGGGCCACTAGAAGAGAACTTCTCCCAGGATTCATTTTCCATTCTCCTCCACCCCATGCTTCCTCCTCTCTGGTCCACCATTCTTCTCCTTCCCCTGCCTTACCCGAGGGGAAACCTTTTATAGCAGCCCAGCGGGCCTTAACAGGCTGCAGGTGTCCAATTAGGCTGCTGCTGCAGGCCGGTTCTTAATGAGTCCCAGGTGCCTGCCTGTCTTAATTGCTGGCCAGCCGTCTCTGGCAGCCTACACTGGGAACAGGAACCTGCCTACCCAGATAGCTACCGCTCATTTCTGTGGATAGGGCTGCACACGGTGTATCCGTGCAGGGCTCTACAGATGTGCCTGTGATAGGAAAGGCAGATGTGTAGACAAAATCCCCCAGCCGTCAGTTTTAACAGCCTGCACTACCCCACTGGAGCTGGAGGGTGGTACCAGTGGCCGGAAAAGGCTCATGTAAACACCACCCGAGATTTATGAGAGCTGGTTAGTGACACAAAAAGGAGGAGGTAACATCTTTCACTGGACCAACTCCTGTCTCTCTCTGTCTCCCGCAGAAGTTGACCCAACCTTCCCCTCCTCGTCTATCTACTATCCTGGGACCTGCCGTGGCAAGGGAGAGCTTGTGGACTTGCTTTGTTTGGGGAGGGGCAGGAATGTGGTTTTATTTGGAGGAAAGGTGGGGGGAATAGAATGAAACTGTGACCGAGGAATGTGGTTTTATTTGGAGGAAAGGGGGGGGGGAATGGAATGAAACTGTGACCAACTGGAGCTGGAGGGTGGTACCAGTGGCCGGAAAAGGCTCATGTAAACACCACCCGAGAGTTATGAGAGCTGGTTAGTGACACAAAAAGGAGGAGGTAACATCTTTCACTGGACCAACTCCTGTCTCTCTCTGTCTCCCGCAGAAGTTGACCCAACCTTCCCCTTCTCGTCTATCTACTATCCTGGGACCTGCCGTGGCAAGGGAGAGCTTGTGGACTTGCTTTGTTTGGGGAGGGGCAGGAATGTGGTTTTATTTGGAGGAAAGGTGGGGGGAATAGAATGAAACTGTGACCGATATATTTTGTGAATGTTTTTGACCAGCTAAAGCATCTGTGAAATTTGAAACGTCGGCGAACAAATTATTCTCATTTCAGGCATCATTAGAAAAGGGAGGAGGGCTTTGTGAAAACTCCAGTGGGAAAAAAAGAATCAGTGTTGGCCAGTTCTAGTCATTGCTAAATATTTGTTTAATAGCAGCACGGAGCCATTGTGCCCATACAGAGCTCTGTAAAAATGTAGCAGGCAGTGCAGGAGACAAAAGGACCCAGGGGGTGGGTGTCTTTTGGCAGGACAAGCTCTTGCGGAGGGGATGCACGGTGATAGCGGCCACGCCCACCTGCGCATTAGCAAAGTGACAACATCAGTGGCCGTAGACCAGCCAAAATGCCCCTGGTAAAACTTTCTAGTGCGGACGTGCCCAAAGGAAGAGTCTGTCTCCTGATGAGTTAAGCGCTTTCACCAGACATGGCCGTGGGGCCCATTTATGACCAGAAGAGGAACAGAGGCCTTCTGCGTCCCACCTGCCATCTGAGGTGTGATTGCCCTGTGGGTACACGTAGCCACACTAACGTTAATCGAGCTAGGTCCAGAACAGGCTAGCAAGTGAGTCCATAATCAGGCTCAGCGGGTGTGGCTATACTGCACACCAACCCTGGGATCTGATTCTGTGTTGAAACCAAGCCACCTTTCCGTCCACACACTCAGGGTCAGCAGGCACTCACGTATCAGGTCTGAGGAGATGGGGCAGAGCCCAAATCCTGTTGTGGCTCAAGCCCAGGGGAGCTGACAGCCTGTGCAGCCTCCTGGGCAAGGTGGAGGGGGGGCAGCTCCACTCCCCCAGAAGGGGTGGGGCCTCGAGTGGAAGGGGTGGGGCTGGGGCAGCCAGCCCTCTCCTCCCTCCCCCCCCCTCCAGCCCTCAGAGCCTCACGGAGCGCATGGCACTCCAGCGGCGATTTAAAAGGGCCTGGCGCTCCAGCTGCCAGGAGCCACAGCCCCCTTTGAAACACCAGGCCTGCTCAGTTCCAAGCCCTGTCATTTCCACAGACCCACGACAGGAGGTCTGCATAAAGCAGGGGAGGAGCCACAGGTGGGCCTGAGTGGGCTGTGACCCACTTTGCATCCAGGCCCACCCCATGGCTCTGTGTGGCTCTCCTCATGCCTCACCCCTGACCCCACTCTGCGAGCCCATCCGATGCCCCTGCCCAGGGCACCGGGGCCTAACCGATTAAATCGCTTGCCAAGGTTGCATAGGGAGCACTGAAGAGCTGGTAGCTGAAGTCCCAGATCTCCTCAGGTCCGGTTCAGACCAGCTCGTCCCTCGCTCAACCCATACAGGAGAGAAGACGCACCACTCGGCTTTCCATTTTCAACTGCAGTTCCCAGCCAGCGAAGGCAAATCTGTGACCCGCCTCCCGTGGTACATGGAACAGAGACACCCGTAGAAAGGGGAAAGAACCCTGACAGGTCACACTTAGCATTGATACCACACTGACACCCTTTAATAGCTTTCATAGAACCATAGAGCTGGCAGAGACCTCAGAAGGTCAAGTCCAGCCCCCTGCTCAAGGCAGGACCAATCCCAACTCAATCAACCCAGCCAGGGCTTTGTCAAGCCGAGACTTAAAAACCTCTATTCCTCAACAGCTTCTTCCATGCCCCGTTCTGTTCTCTATGCTCAGTCTCTCAAGAGAAGCTTAAAAAGAAGATGCCCAAATGAGCCAAGACAAACCTGTGAAGGGGAAGAGGGAGTCCATCCTCTCTGTATTTCAAACAGTGCTGTTAAAATGGTGTCTGTTCAACTGTGCCACCGTCCCGACAGTTGTGCCTTCAGAAATTTGGCCTACAGTTGAGGGTTTGAGGTGGGGGAGGTTGTTTTGGTTTTGCAATTGTTCTCCTTGGCCTCTGAGGATAGGACAAGAAGCAATGGGCTTAAACTGCAGCAAGGGAGGTTTAGGTTGGACATTAGGAAAAAGTACTGTCTGTCAGGATGGTTAAGCACTGGAATCAGTTGCCTGGAGAGGTTGTGGAATCTCCATCACTGGAGATATTTTAAGAGCAGGTTAGACAGACACCAGTCAGGGATGATGGTCCCTGGTCCCGCCGTGAGGGCACTGAATTCAATGATCTCTCAACGTCCCTTCCAGTTCTAGTGTTGTATGATTCTCTGCTTTCTCAGTAACCAAGCAGGCCAGTCGGTAAAGAAATAAAACCAGACACGTTAACTGCTTGGAAGCAAATGGTTTATCTTCAACCAATTTTACTCCTTAGAAGACAATTCTAGGGGAAGAGTTTTTGTTGCAGCCTTTTAATGAGTTTGCCAATCGCCACACAATAGTCAAATTGCAGCAGCTGGATGTATGTGCACTGGCATTGGAGAGGGGCGCAAATTGTCCCTTCTGAAGAAGAGACGGGCAGTTACTTTTCGCTCACTTTTCAAAACCTGGCTAACATCTCAAGCTACCATGCCCCTTTAAATGTCGGGCTGGATTTTTAACTCCACATTGCTCCGAAAGGGATTCAACTTGCTTTGATGGGTGTTAGCTCAGAATTTTGAAGGGACTTATTGCTGGGTTGGTGAGGCAGATTTCAAACCTTTGGCTATGATGCTGGGTACCTTTTATTTCTGAAGTAGGACAGGGCTGCAGTCCTCTGCTAAAAATCTGCTTGAAATTCTCAGCCGGGAGTTTTGTTTTTCAAATGGGAGCCGTCCTAATGCTGCAGAGACCTTGGAGTGAAGAGGAAACTGAGTTGTTTTTATGCATAACTAAAAGTCTTCCTAAAATGTTGTCCGTTATCGCCCTCCCCATCATATTTCACGTCAACCAGCTTCTTAAAACATAAAACTATAGCTATTTGATTGGGGTTGCTTCCAAACCTACTTCCCACCCATCACAGATCCCCCCTTCCCTGTCTCCCCCAGTCCAGGTCAGACATATAATGAACAGCCATTCCTTTGGACAGCAAGCCTGAAAACTTGTTGTCGCCTTGGCAACTTTGCATCCCAGGGGGAGGGAGGGAATGATGGGCAGAGAATAAAAAAGGGGGCAGAGATGATGTCACCTCTGTGGGAGGCAGGCAGCCAATCAGCAGCTGAGTTGGTGATGTAATCGCCTTCCCTCCCCTCCTCCCCCGCTTGTTCCCCTCCACCCTTTTTCGCCAAGTCAGTCCCATTCAAAACTATAGAAGTGTGGTGAATTAAAGCAGCCGCGAGGTCATTCTCCCCCAGCCTGTGCGCAAAGAGGAAGGCGGGGGGATGGAAGAGAGGAAAAATTCCCCTCCAGCAGACTGAATAGATGCTAATAGTCTTGACCGGAGGCATCCTCATAAAGATGTCATCAACTTTGGCTCTCCCTGTTTTACAACACAATGGAAAAAATGTGGGGGGGGGGGGAAGGCAGGGAGGGAAAATTGTTATTTAATTGCCCTCTCCCCAGCCTCCCCGCTCCAAAAAAAATTGTGAATGAAATGTCAGAAAATTCCTCCCTAAGAATCAAGGAGCTAAGCCCGCGAGGGGCAAATATTACGAGCTGCCTTCTCGGCCACCCGAGTCCTTGTTTGCTTTCTGTTGGACCAGACCAGAGAGTGGGGACACACAAAGCCACCCTTTGAGGGATCATATTTTGTGCAAAACTGAACAATATTGTTGCCTGAGCTTTGGACCGGCAGAAACGCAGGCTGGAGAGAGGCAGGCCCCTTGCTGCCAAAGCTAGAGGACAACGAACACGTCCACTTGCTTCCTGCGGCCACCGCCTGAGGGAAAAACAAGGGCTGAGGTTTGGAGAGGGGGCCCTAGCTTGGTAGGATTCCCGTCAGACTCATAGATGGGAACCAAGCTGCTGAGTTCTGAGCGGGATCCAAACATCCCTATAGTTCAGCTCAGCTCTGGTACAACACAGAAAGCAGCACAGTGTGGCCACTCAGGGGAGATTCAAATGCTTCCCAGCTGACATACGAAGCCCCCACTGCTAGTTGTTGGTTTGTTTTGGGTTTTTTTGTTTGTTTGTTTGTTTCTACTGGTGGTGCACGTTCACCCATGCCATGGTGCACATCAAAATTATTCCGCA